GCCTGCTTACTTCACTTTCTAATTCTACATTTTTCTGCCTCATGGTTTTATTTTCTTCTAACAGTTCCCTGTTGCGGGCTATCAGGCCATTGACTTGTTCTTTCAAATTCGAAAAGAAAGCCATGCGCTCTTTCAATTGGGCTGCGGTAGCGACGTGTGCGTACTATGACCATGCGTCAATGGCGCGACTGAAGTCATTCGGGGCTCTGGGAGGTCGATGCTGTTGCTTTTGCCCTCTGACGGGCCTGAAGGGAAGGTGCCGCAACTGGAGTGTCCATACACAATAGTAAAAAAAAAACAATACGGAAGAATTTAACCTGAGATGGTGGCTTAACGTATGCTGCCAGGTCCCCAGCCACCAGGGATATCGCTTGCGTCGACGCGTAGGCCACGAAAATTCGATAGAATCAATAGAAGCAGATTAGCGGTGCAACGCTCGTGTTTAGGTCGAGCGAACCAATTATCAGGAATAAAGCAGAAATAGTTCAGCCAGTACAGTAGAATACTAGTCAGGCAGTAGAAAAAAGGGCTTAGAACGCAGTAGAAGTATCAAATACTGGAGTCGAGCAGCCAAGGAATTCTTTACAGGCGCAGAGCCAACATTTTGCTCTGGGGGCGAAAGCCTCTGAACTTAAAGACACTTAAACGATCGCATGAGAGGTGGTATCTTTTATACAGGGGGGCCAAAAAAAAAAGTCATTTTGCCTCCATGACTTTCAAGGCGCTATAAGTTACACTTTATTAAATTTTTATCGGACATTTTTACTACCATATTAAAGAGCACATTAAATACTATAAACGTACTCCGCCACAGCCTTCTGGAGGAGCGCCATCGAGAGATTCTGCCACGCGACCGTGAGTGGGTGCCTGAGATCAGCGAGATAGTCGATTTCTCGCCACCCTGTAGACCCCCTCTGAAGTCCGCCCGAGCTAAGTAATTGAGTGGGTTCAGGTCAGGGGACATACTTCAATATTACATCTTCTTCAGGTACGAAACGCCCTTCCATTCGAAGTAGGCGGGAGTTTTTCCAAAACCCTTCGATTCCATGTGGTGGCACCCAAACCTGTAGCAGCACAAGGTCTCCAAGAAGGTACGGGCGACCACATGTAGGGAGGATATCCTTCTCGAGTTACTTGATGTAACCGCCAGCGCTCACCTTCAGTCGGGGTCTACAAAGAAAATATCGGTCTTCCCATTCCAGGTACGGCCGGTCCACACCATCAACCCGCGCCTTGGTGAATGGGGTGAAGATGATGTCCTGGACCGTAGCGACGTTGCCGGAGCTGCTCGATGTTTGGGGTCTCGCAGATCAAGAGTACTGGTCTCCAGGTAGCTATCCATGGGTGATTCCATTCAAGAAGTTCCGCAGCTGTTTGGAGGCCACGTGAATTCCAAAGGCGTTCTCCACTCAGGCCGCGACTGGAGATGACTTCATATTTTGGTGTACATGAAGGTGAATGGCGGCAGCCGGCTCCTGCTTATAGAGGAAGATCTTGGGTATCTTCCGCCCTGGTACTCATATCCACTTCCTCTGTCTGGGCTGCGAAAACTTCGCTCATATGTGACTCGGCCGGAATGACTTTTTTTTGCCCCCCCCCTGTATATAAGTTGTATACAGTTATAGAATCTGATATATGACCCAACCTATGTTCATAGTTAACCACTTGATGGGTAATAGTCTTATGTCATCCTCTAGAACTCATATCCGGGAGATGGGGAGGGCGTGTCCAAGACTTACCAGTTAGCATGCGGCGCTGGACAGCTACCAGTTTAGTCAAAAACGAAGGCAATAAGTCGCTCATCCGCACTCTCTGCGCATGACGATGTGAAAGAAGAACAGTAGACAGAACCTGTACACCCCTCACCCTGCATGCCCTGACTGGCAGCTGTTCACATATGCGCAGCCACTTACCGCCCTTCCCATGTCAGGTAGACTCCGTACACCAGAAGTGGGGAGGGCGTGGCTGCGAACCCCATATGAACAAAGCGAAGGATGCGACGAGTATAATAGCAGTTGTTTCAAAATGGCAGTATCCCTCCAAAACAGAGCCGGCACAGCGCTTGACTCGAGTGGGCACCCACGCCCTCTCCATCTCTGGAATCTAGGAAACACTCTCATCCTTGGAATTCCACTTCCATGCATGGAATTCTTTCAAATTCCATGACATCAATATAAGCCTTAGCTTAGCCTTATCCATTACTAAGCTTTTGTTATCCGAGATTTATGAAAAATCCAAGGCAGAAAAGTTCAAGAAGCCAGACGTTCATGAAGTTTCTTTGAGCTTTTCTACGTCAGCCACAGCTTCAAAGGCTTGTGATTCGGCTTTTCCAGTCTAGATGACTTGCTATGATGCCTATCCACTTTTTTGCCTTCTTTCCTTCAGCTTTCTTCCTTCGTTAAACGATGATTGTATTTCCTTGACCTAATGCGCTATGGCAGTTTTTGAATGCACTTGGGAATTCAGCGTCGCTCCGATGACGTCATAGGCCATTTTTTTCAATTTGACCTAAACGAATTCGTTCGTAATTGGCCAAGGACACATTTCCGCAAGTGCTTCTCGTAGCTACTCGGTGAAAAAACTCGTGGGTGGGTGCAAATTGACTCAGCCGTGGAAAAAAAGGTGCAGATGTATTAAAAAATAGCAACAAATGGGGTAGTTCCAGCACGAGAATAACTGTCACGTAATATCCGTCAGCTGCAAAGCCTTCGTCCTCCCTCTTCCTTGTCCTTTTTCTTTCTCCGATCCTTCATTCTAATTTTCCTCCTTGCAACTGTTCGCCCCGAAGATGCGATGAGAGAATACCGTACCCTCGCAGCGTCATCCAGTTGACAGAATCCCTGTAACCGAGAATAGCATCCGTCAGTCGAACCCATAGAACTGGAAGCTTCGTTAGCCGGACAAGACTTGACCGGACCAATATTTCTCATTTGTTCGTTTTTCGGCTATCTGAATAGTTTTTTATTTGCAATCTTTTTTTCCTCCAGTCCAAAACAGCGCCGTTTTGCGCGACTCTTCAGGAAAATGTTCAGGACTGCTCGTTGCTGGGAGCCTCAGGGCGCGTAACGTTCAATAGCGTGGTCTATTGATGTACGGGGTACAGCATCGCTGTGTGAAAC